AGTGAGTCAAGTACGGGTGATTAGAAAGGTGTTGGAACGCTTCTGTCTAGCCTCGGGACAGAAAGTGAGCTTAGACAAGTCAAAGATATTTTTTTCAAGCAACGTTCATCGGGATTTAGCAAGGCAAATCAATGCCGAAAGTGGGATTAAAGCTACTACAAACTTGGGAAAATATCTTGGGCTACCAATCTTACACAAAAGGATTAATAAAGAGACATTCAGAGAGGTTTTAGAGAGAGTGTCTTCACGGTTATCCGGTTGGAAAGGAAGATTTCTCAGCCTTGCAGGATGTTTAACTCTTACGAAAGCAGTCTTGTCTTCTATTCTGGTACACTCTATGAGTACGATTTCATTACCAAAGTCTACCCTTGAACAATTGATAAAGTGTCTAGATCCTTCTTGTGGGGCAGCACCACAGAAAAGAAAAAACAACATCTCCTAGCTTGGAAACGAGTATGCAGGCCAAAACATGGAGGGGGCTAGGTATTCGTTCCTTAGTCTCAATGAATAAGGCTCTATTGGGAAAGATCGGGTGGCGTCTTCTCCATGACAAATCAAGTTTGTGGGCACGAGTGCTCCGGGCTAAGTATAAAGTTGGAGATACACATGATCTAGGCTGGTTAATCCCTAAGAGTAATTGGTCAATGACTTGGAGGAGTGTGGGAGTTGGTTTAAGAGAAGTAGTCTTCCCGGGGCTTCGTTGGGTACTGAGCAGTGAAAGAGAAATTGATTTCTGGGAGGACAAATGGCTGTCTAATACGCCTTTGCTGCAGGTAGTGCAGGGAAGCTTACCTTCGGAGGCTAGGGGACACAAAGTGAGTGAGTTATGGATAAATGGGGCTGGCTGGGTACTCTCGCAGATTACACTGTATGTCTCCGACACTGTACGGTTGCAGCTAGCCGCGGTGGTAGTTGACAATGTGACAGGGGCGTCAGATCGATTGGCTTGGGGCGAGACATCAGATGGATTATTCACGGTTAAATCGGCTTATGATCTACTTACTTGAGATGAGGCTCCGAGTTTGGTAGTTGAAAATATAACCGGTTGAATATTATATGTCTCAAAGTTTGGTTTCAGTTAGTAACCGATAACCAAAAGATAACCAAAGCATATGTATTCATATATTTGATATATATATATATATATCATATATGTATAGAGGACGTTTGGGTTTTCCGACTTCAATATTTGATATATCTCATATATGTATAGAGGACGTTTGGTTTTCCTTTCCCGACTTCGACTTTAAGACAGTAACCCTAGTATTATAAATAGCTAAAGCTGGAGACATCAACTCCATATCAATCTTTGCCTCAGTCATGGAAATCTTCCATGAATATCGCTGAAGAGGCGGTTTACTATCCCTATATAAAGCGATTCAAGGTCTTCGCAAAAGGAGAGACAAGCAAAAACGCTCTTGACTTCAGACTACTAAAAGCTCTGATATTCGAAAGCAAACAAATACTTTTCTTTTTACGATCTAGTTCTTTGTACGATCAAAACTACTCTCTTCATCAATAATATCAAGAACACCATCTTTGGTTACAAGTCTTTCGGCTGTTCTTTGAGAATTCTCGCTATTTGTATCCCAAAAAGAAACCCTAGAAAAATTTCTATTGTGCAAGTTTCGACTTCCACAGTTAGTGTCTCATCGGGTTGTCATGACAAATATGGAAAGACACCGACGCCATCTCTCTGAAACAGGCTCATGTCCAGTGTGCAGCAGCGGTGATGAAACTCTGCTTCATGTGCTAAGAGACTGCCCGTCAATAGCTGAGATTTGGAGCCGCATAGTCCCGACATCTAAACTACAAGCTTTCTTCGATAGAACGCTGTTGGAATGGTTGTATCGGAACATGAGGGACAGCACGGAGAGGTATGGAGTTCCTTGGTCCACTCTGTTCTCTTTAACAATATGGTGGGCTTGGAAATGGAGGTGTGGACAGGTGTTTGGTGGAATGAGGAGATGTAGAGATCGGTGTGGATGTAGGATTCACACTCGATTATCTTTAACTATTTCAGTGGAGAAAAACTCTTAAAATCAACAAAAGAAAATAAGAATTTGAAAGGGAAGTTAACCAAGAAAAAAGTAAAGGAATTTGATGCGAATATAATATGCAAAGCCTTGCGAAAGTATATAAGAGAAAAAGTATGTTGTATTGCTTGGTAGTAGTATGTAATAATCTAAGAGAAGTCTCTCCCTCAAACACATGCGTTTGAGGTTGTTTTTATAGAGAAAAACATGATTAATGCGGTCACTTACTGCTCATAATCGCATTGATCCGCATTAATCATGTAAGTTACAATTTGACCAAAAAGGCATTAATTTGAACTATCTTGGGCTTCGCACGGATCTTCCGAACTCTTTCTTGTTGACTCCGAACTCCCGTGTTTTGACGCTGTCGCGAGCCTCGAACAATATTCTCCTCGCTTTGCCCTTTCTCTATGAGAACTGTCTGTCGAATAAGAGCGAACTCCATACTGGCAAAAATCGAGCTCTTCTACTAGACTGAATCGAACTTCCGACTGGTTAATCTCGATTCTTATAATAAAATATCTTTAGTTCCGAGAGGATTATTATGTAATAATGACGTGGACAGATCCAAGTGGATCCTACCGAGAATGTGTGGGATCCGACCCCAACATTTAGCCCCCCAAGTCTTGAGCTGAATGCTCGGCTTGGAAGACTTAAGTAAACAGTAATTAATGAATCGAGATCTTTAACATTCTGAAATTTCTCCATGTTTTACGCTATTACGCCGATCTCGGACAATCAAATGATTTGATATCCCTGACAACCGTTATCATTAATTTCCTAATTTTATATTAATACTACGGGGAAAACTGTCCCACTTCCCAATATTTTCGAGGCGGTCTTCCATCATACTTTAGGGTTCCAAGAGGTAATATTACTTTTCCATCTTATCTTCTCTACCCAGAAAACTTTCACTCTTATTACAGAGATTATAGTTTCCTTCCGGTAAAAAACCACCTTCGTAAAAATGTCAAACTCCCCTTCTAAAATCCGCGGCTGTGAGGTTGAAGATCTCGAAGCTTTCATGGGTGAGGAAACCGAGCCTCATACCCAAACTAGCGATGGATTTGACCTTCACCCTCAGAGTCAATCGACCGTGGAATCTCTCAACGATCTTCGCTGCTTATGCCACGTTCCCCCCTAGGTGGAGATGGTGGTTCCGGAGCCCTACGAGTCTCTGGAATCGGGACGAGAGGGTTATTGATGCGCCTATGAAATTTATTTCAAAGGATGTGGCTTGTTCCTTCCTCTTCCCGAAATACTTCTCACTTACCTCAACCATCTGGGAATCGCTTTCTCTCAGATGTCGCCCAACATGCTCCGGTATCTTATGTGTACCTTCACTGTTGCGGCGGAGGCATGTTATTCGCTGGGACTTAGCGAGCTCTTGGAACTCTTCCAGGCTCGTGAATCCCAAACTTCTGGGTATTATGCCCTTTATCCGATCGCAGATCGGAATCTTATTGATGGCCTGCCTTAAAAGGACAACGCCTGGAAGAAGTTTTGGTTCTTCTTCCGTATAAATAGTTTTTCCGTTCAGAGTTCTTCCGAACTCCTTCAAATTCACTGGTCATCGAATTTGGGTAGAAACTAGGACTTAACTAAATAAGTTTCTCAGGCTATTTCGAATTGCGTTAACACTTTCTCGTTTTTCCGCAGGTTCCCAAATTCGACCAGTTCCCTCTGTTGATTTCCTCAACTTTTACAAGGCCGTCCTTGAGAGGCCAGTTACTTGGAATTCTTTTACTTTGGAGAGAATTCACGGCGCCAGTCATTCTGTCAGAATGGGCCTTACTCACCCCGTCGACCCCCCTTTTGTTGAAATTGATCTCTCGAGTTTGAATGCCCGAGATAGAAGGAGGATCAAGGAGGCAGACAAGAAGATCAAAGATCAGATTTCCCTGATTGGGAGAAATAAGAAAAGTGCATCCTCCATCGGGGACGACAAAATCTACCGGAAAACTCTCCTAGTTGATGACGGGTCCCTTGAGGGCTCAAAATCAATGGCGGTTGTCATAAACAATGCTCCTCTCCCCACCCTAGCAGCAGACAACACGATCGCTGGTACTACCGAAGAGGAAGGTCTTATAGGTGACTCTTCTGTTATGAAGAAGGGGAAGGCTGAGGAACTTGAACCCCCGCTCCAGGGTCGACCCAAGAGAACAAGGACAGAACCACTCCTTCAAATTTGTCAATTTCCGAATCTGCCGAAGCTCAAGGTAAAAACCTTGATTTAGGAATTGTTTTAAGGGAACCGCCAAGTTTAGGGATGCAACCCCCTAGACGTCCCCGAGGTAATACCTCTAGAGCTCGATCGTCTCCGAGCTCATGACTTGTTGCCAGAGCCTCATCTCAATCAGGTAACCCCCAATTAACCTTTCGTTTACTGGAGATTAACCGACCTTTTAGGAAGCTCAATACTCATATAAATATATATATTTTTTAGATAAAGAGAACATTGGAAATATCTTTAGATGTTTCCACACTGGCTTCGGGAAGAAACTTCCGCCTTTTGAGCACTGGAGGGACGACATCAAGAGGATGTATATCATTCATTCATTCCACTCCTCTAGGTTTGACTATTCGAGTCCGTAAACACCTGACTCTGAATCTCCTTTTTCTTATCGCATCTCCTTTTATTAGGCAACCCTGGATGTGAACAGCATCATCAACCATTACGAAGAGGAGCTTACCAAAGTTTCCAAGATAGCTGCTATTGCTGAAGGAGAGATTGAGAAACTCCAATCCTCCAATCAGCTTGTGAAGGCACTACAGGAAAAGCAGGTATTGATAGCAGTTGAAGATAGCGGTTTAGATGGTTATGCTATGTTTGATTATTGCCTCTTTCTTTCATAGCGTTTGTGAAATATAAAACGCTATAATATATTGAGCGGCAAAAGTGATGTGGTTCCCGCTTAAGAATTTGGCTATTCATCTCTCTATACAAAATTTGGAATGCTATGGTATGTTAACCGCGAAAATAAAATAAAATAAATTGATGCCCGCCCAACTAAAATTTTTTTGGGATATCTCAAAGGTATGTGGTAAAAAATTAGGGTTCACGTCTCTATCTCTTTCCCATTCGACACCTCTGTCTCATTTCAATTTTTCTTTTGGCAACTCTTGATCCTCCATCTCTATCCCGATATCAACTCTCGATCCTCCATCTCTGTCCCGATTTCTCAATCAGACTCGTTACTCCATCTCTGTCTCGATCTCTCAATCACAGTCATGTTCCTCGCACTTTCATTCTCGATCTCAATCTATCTCCGTTTCGTTCCCTCTCAATCGTCATCTAAAGCGGTAAATCGAATTGGTGAGGTCGAATTTGACACTGAAGGTGAGATAGTGCTTGGGTTTTGGTTATTTTTTCACAGATTTAAGGTTTTAATTTCCATATTGGGTATTAATCCATCGATTATTTCTCTTTTTTGCAGTAAGAGCTCGGTGAGACTTCAGTTAAAGGTATTCGAGTTCAATTTCGGATTTTGATTTTAAGGTTTTGGTAAATAGTCGATCTATTCAGTATAATCGGTTCCTAATTGATATATATTTGAGTGTTCTTGCAGCTGAATTTTGTACTTAGAAGAACTAATAGATATGTGGGATTTCGATTTTAAAAGTTTCTAATTCTTTTGTAGATAGTCTTCAAATCATCAAGATCACCACTTGTTTATTTTGTAAGCTATTATTTTCTTAGTCTTTGTTTGTTTACTTTCTTTCTCGTGTGTGTTGATGTGAGTAGGCTGTCATTGTTATTTGAGTGTTTGATCCTTTGAACTCTTTATCACAAATTGTATACTCGGTGGTGGAGATATGGTTGTATTGTTGTGATATGGACAAGGCATGTGTTTGAGAGAGCTAGTGTCCTTAAAGGTATCTCTAACCTCGTGTCTAAATATTGTTTGAGAGAGCTGATGTTATTTGGTTATAAATGCAGGCAAATATTGTAAGAACTGATCGCATTGAATCTCTGATTTTGGTTTCTCATTGTGAAACAGGGTGATACATTCAACAATTCTCATTGTATCACAGACTCAAGGCTCAATACATTCAACAATCTTGGTGATTCTTCTTCTTTTCCTTGATTTCAGATTGAACTTGATGATACTTGCTTCAAAGTTTGTATTGTCTCATGGAAATTACAAAAAATAAAAATTAAAAAAAAAAGAAAGAAGAACTTGTGGCTTTACTCAAGATTGTGAAGCTTTAGATTCTTGAGTACTTCCTTCGGATATTTAGCTTTAGTGATTAAATTTGTGGTTTTTCATATGTTGCAGGTGAGATATTTCACTTCATGCAATTTACACTAGGAAATCTATCAAAAGGGTTTTGTTATTTTATTTTACTCTTGAGATTATAGTTGCTAAATCTGATGAGTAAGATTCTTGAAGCGCCAAGCATGAACTGTTTACCTTTGGATGTTGGTTTTTGTTTTTCTTTGCAGGAGAGATGTGAGAATATGATCGAATATGTAAAAAGGCTTAGGCTTTGCATTAGATATTTTCAAGAACTCGAGTTAGATTACGTCTTTGAGCAAGAGATGGAGGTTCATGACAAAGTGAATCAAACGAGAAAAAATCTTGTTCGTCTTAGAGTTTTTAGGCTATTAACTCGATCTGTAACTTTTTAACTCAACCGCATATAAACTTAATTCTATGTCAGAAGACGAGTTTATGTTTCAATAATGTATTTTTATGGTTTTAATTTTATTGTATAAATCTCTGTCACATATGTACTCTTATCATCTATATCCATATAATATTTCCAAAAATCTTCAAACAACAATCTTAGAAATATTAATTAATAACACACAAAATATAATTAAAAACTACAAATAAAAGAAATTTTAATTCATAACTATTCTGTAACGTTTGATAGTTTCTTAATAATATACTATCAAATTATTTTAAAACACAAATAAAACCATGGAACACAAAATTAAAAAAAAAAACTAATATATATAATGATGCAGAACACAAAATTAAAATATATTTATACAAGTAATACATAAACCCTAAACCCTATACCCTATATCCTAAACCATTTAGGGTATAGGGTTCAATCTTGAAACACATTTCACTGTTTTTCAATTATACTCTAATATCTCATATGTTCATAATTTGTAAATAAAATTGAAGTGAAAAGTTTTTAATGTTTTTTTTGTGAAATGTGAACCCTAAATCCTAACCCTTAACCCTAAACCCTAAACCCTAAACCTTAAACTCTAAATTAAAGTTAAAATCCTAATTAAATTAAATCTTTAAAACTCTAAATTAAAGTTTTAACTATAAAACATAAATACTTGAGTAAAAAAATCTAAATTCCAAAGTTTAAACCCTAAACCCTAAACTATGCCTTAGTGTATATGAACATATAAGTTAGATAGTTGGAATACTAACCTATATTAATTGTTCTTAATTTTAAAATTTTATACTTATAAGAAAAAAGATTCTAAAAATTGAAATACATATATTGTATTTTTAAAGAAATAATTTATATTTTTTTCATTAATAAAAAATTTTATATGATAATTTTATGATTTTTTTCATTACTAGCCAATGAGAACTCACCTCCCACATTGTGGGACGAATCCTGCACCGTTAGATCGCGCCGACTTTGATCTCAGCCGTCCATTCTTATTGTTGACGCAATTAATGTACACCGTTGATCTGTCTCGATAACTTTGATCTGAGCCGTTCATTTTCTTAGCCAATGAGCATTAACCTCTGAGATTGAACTTTGGCTTATTCTCCACCATTGATGAATTAAATCCAACGGTTAAGATTTTCTCCTTCTTTTGATTAAAACTTATTCTTCTTTTTGCCTTGTCTCTTCGTATCCTTCTCTTATGTGAAAATCAAACATTTGGCTTCCCGTTTCTTCACTTCTCCGATCAGTGGAGGTCCTGGAGGATATAGAAGGTGGCGGTGGCGGCTTCTGGATCTAGGGCTTCAATCGGAGTTGTTTTCTGGAGAGTTATCCTCCGCCACATTCAAATCTTCCCTCCGCCGTCGACACTCATTGCTTCTCCTCCGGTCTTAAGGTATGACACGCTTGCTCTCAGCTTCCTCAGCAATGTCAGAGCAGCAATCCGAAGAAGTTCAGCAAATCGAGAAGCTCTACGAGTTCAGCGAGCATCTCAATGCCTCCAAGGACAAGTCTCAGGTTCGTCTCAATTTTTCAACTAGGCTTTGAATTGAAATCGAGCATTCCCTGTTTCCTCTCCGGTTTATGTATTTTTAACAATCGTTTCTGTGTTTGGAGCTGGATTTTCCTTTGGATTCGAATTAGGCTACTGTGAATATGGATATTTGATTTATTGTTATGCAACATTTATTTAAACTAGGTGATCACCCGCGTTACGTCGCAAATATTCTTTTTTTTTTTTGGTTTTGTTTTTTTTTTTATTTATGTTTTGATAAATATAATTTTTAATTATCTAATTATTCACTCATGCTAGGTCTAGGCATCCGGATCCGAAACTGAGGAGAATGATCCTGATTTTGTGGAGAATGATGCTGATTTTGTGATTGCAGAGGTAGTGTCGATCGACACCAATTGGTATCGACCGACACCAATACAGATATTAAAGAATTTAAGCTATGATGAAGTAAAATCGACCTGGTTTGACATTGATTTACAGGACCACTCGACACGTAATCTTAGTGCCGTCTGACACCACCTAGGTGTCAATCGACACTTCTCAGAAACAGAAGAAGAATCAACGTTTGACGAAACAGAATCGAGCGAGCTCAACATAGAGGAGTCAACGCCATATAGTATTGTCGACCGACACTCACCTAGTGTCGATCAACACTAGATACGGACATCACCAATTCACCTTGAGTTTCTGCCGCAGCCTAAGAAGTCCAAGCAGGAGATACATGAAGAGAAATTCATACATATAATGGATAAGATTCTATTTGCGTTACCTTTGATGCTCCACTTCAAAAGTATGTCAAGAGGATGATTACTAATGGCATTAGTGCCGAGGACGCAAGCTTGCTTACCAAAGACATCAGTGCAATCCTGGTGTATGAGGATCCAGAGAAGAAGCCGGACAAGAGGCAGATAGTGGCTATCTCTGAATTAGTCAGTGCCATGATTCAGAGTAGAATCCCAGAGAAGTTACCTGATCCAGGAAGCTTTGTGCTAGATTGTTCCATATCTACAGAAAGGTTTCCTCATTCTCTTTGTGATCTTGGCTCTTGCATCAACTTGATGCCCCATTCTATTGTTGTAAGACTTGGGATGACATATGTCAGGCTAACCAAGATTACTCTTCTCTTAGCTGATCGATCAAAGAGAATTCCAATGAAAATTAAAGAAATCTTGATTACAACCGACTTTGTGGTTTTGGAATACGAATTAAAACCTCCGGATCCTCATATTCTAGGGAGATATTTCTTGGCTACTGTTGGTGCTCAGATTAACGTGAAACAAGGTCGAATTGCTCTACATGTGTGTGACGTGGTTATGACTTTTGACATGGACAAGTTGAGGGAGCCACCCACCATTGATGGTCAGGCATTCTCTATACAGACTTTCACAAACACTGTTGTTGAGACTGAGAAGGTATTGGATACAAGCGAGCAGCCATAGGAAGCGAGTTGCGAATCATTTGCTGAGAATCGATCTACAGAGATGGTGTCGATGGACACCACTACCAGTGTCGGTCGACACCCAGGATGAGCCGAACCAGAGTTTTCCAACAAAGCTGTTTTTCGAGCTCGAATCACTGCTGCAAGTCCGGGAACTGTTGTCACGTCAACCACTGCACCTCTTCCACTCCATCCACCTCCTAAACAGCTACGGTACTCACGTTCTCCATCTAAACCTCTTGATTTCACCAATAAGATTTTAAAATTTGCCAAGACTGTTTTAGGGAACTGTTGTCACGTCAATCACTGCTTGTTTTTTCTTTTGATGATTGTGCAGAAAAATAGAGCATCCCACCCATACCTAAGCCCCACCTTGCTACTATTCCTCACTTCCTTGGACAATCTCACACACCGACTTACACCATCGTGGATGATGAGACGTTTGGCTAGGAAGTATTCGCTGACACCATCTGATCCACCTGATGCCTGAACCCCGACATAGTCAAGCTAATGACTGAAAATAAGGAGGCAACCCACTTGTATGATTTCGTTTTTCTTTTATTTTTATTTACGTTTTATGTTTTTCTTTTTAGTTTTCGTCAACTTTGGGTTTGAATGCCACTAGGGACAGTGTCGTTTAAGTCTAGGGGAGGCAGTTACTAAATACGTTTTTCTTTTTGAGTCTTATTTTTATTATATTTTTCTTATGAATCGTTTTTTGAGTAAAAAGTTTTTGTGAAAATTATGATATTTTTCTCTAGATTATTGCCTGGTTAGTTTAATGCTGCAGATTCAATTCAATCCGACTAATGGAAAATTCAGAAAGTTAATCAATAGAGCAGAGGACATCCACGTTTCCAACACAATCCGCAAAAACCTGAGCTAAGTTCGCGCTCTTCTTTTTACCTCATCAATACAGTTAGTATTCGTAGAACTTGACTCCTCGTTCATACCTGATAATTGAGAACAATGTGGAAAATAATGGTACTCCTCTCCCTTATTCTAAAAAACAAAATAAAAAAATAATAAGATTGAGATGATTTCCTGTAGAGTAAAGGGCTAGGAAAATTTCCAGCGATCCCATTATTTTACTCTCTAAGAAATGATCACACAAAGGTTGGAAGCGAGGCTAGTAAAACTTTTGATGATACCACTATTCGCCTATACCTTTGAAGCTAAAAAAAAATGGTTTGAAAAAGAATAAATCTGGAAGAGAGAAAGAGTACCTAAGTATGTAAAATGGTTGATTTATCTTTGTATAGTACGGTAATGAGTCTAGAAGATTCTTGGGTATTGATTTTATAGATGAAATTTATGCGATGAGGTCTATTGAATATAGTTGTGGAATTTGGTTTGGAATTTGGGATGTTGAGAATGCTTGTGGAGAATGAAATGGTGGTTAGAATTTGATTTGATCTGCTAAGCATCTGGATTTGGTTTCAATGATCAAGGTAATAGGCTAGAGAAATTGGGAGTTTTCGTGTTTCAAACTTCTTCCACGGGTTCGGTTTTTGTGTTTTGCTTGAGGGCAAGAAAAAGCTAAGTCTGGGGAAGTTGATATATCATGGTTTTTACAGTTTAACCATGGTATAAGTATTATTTTTAGATTCATTTTGTTATTTGTAGAGACTTTTCTAGTCTTTTTCAGGTCTTTACACGTTTATGACAAATTTGGAGATTATGGATTATTCTGGAGCAAAATCGAGAAGTATGTTACAAGAGCAATGCAGAGACCAAAATTGGTGTGGGTGTCGATCGACACCACCCCTGGTGTCGGTCGACACCAATATTGGCAATTCAATTTCGAGTCTCTTTGAAGTTTTGATGATTTGCATAATCGCCCCAGAACTTTTCCCTATTTTCAAAGAAGTCACTGTACGTTTTTAAGAACATATAAATAGATTTTTAGGGTTTTGTTTTAGAGATATCTCTCATTCTATTGTATTCTTTGGAGATTGGACCCTTTGAGAGATAATTGGAGAGAGCTCCCCTCTAGAGAAGATTTCTTAAACTTTTTTACTTTTTCTCTTG